CAGAGCCCGTCAGCAGGACATGCAACACCAAGAGCCTGGTGGTTCACACCTCCTCCATGGTGGTACCTCACCCTGCTTACAACAGTTCACTCAGTTTTAGCCAAAAAGCCATACATTTACTCGGGGGGGTGTGGGGCGGGGAAGTCTACTTTCTACAATTTTAGGACTCTGGAATTCCAAACACACACCCCTCCACCCCTACATCACATTCCTGCAGAAGCCCAGATTGAGAGGAAGAGAAAGGCAGAGTTCCCAGCGAAGCGTGAGAGGAATGGGACTGCCACAGGGTGGATAAGATGCTAAGGGAACATGCCCGGCAGACACTTCACCTGGACAGGAACAGCAGCGATTAGCAAGTTCGATAAATATGCTCACATGATGATGAAGAAATACTGCAACATTTCCTAACATGATCAACTAATGGAAGGTGAATCTAGCAGAAATATAGGATTTGGAGGGAAATGTTAAACTGTTAGGATCTCCATTCTGATTTTAGATTTGTTCGGCAGAAATAAAATGACATGTGTCAGGCTCTGGATAACAGCAACAAAAAGACTTTCTGGGGGAAAAAAAACAAAAAAACAAAAAATCAACCACAAAACCAAAACAAAAAAAAAAAATTTGAAAACAAGGGAGGAAAAAATTTGGACTGTAAAAATAATTATGAATGGAAAAAACACTATAAATATTTTTGTGCCTGAGTAGTAAGATAATATTTGGAGTGATATTGCACTTTATTAATAAACTGAAAGCATTTGGAAGGACTAAAAGTGCTTTAATTCTTACTTTTCATCTCATAGCTCAAGGTAATTACCTCTATATAGTGCACAGAAAATATACAGCTGGTCTTTAATACCATGTCATTTTAAACTATTATATCATTAAAATGTACATACACATACATATATGAGGGTGCATTTTCTTGTGTTTCTCTTGAAAAATACAAATTCCTCCTCTATCTGTACTAGAACATTAAGTATCAATTTCCATGTGTTTCATGAGCACTGTCGATCCAATTTTCCACCTACATTGCTTATAAGTTAATAAGATTGAGGCTTTCTACTTTCAGAGAGTTTTATTTTATTTTTCAGCTATGTCAGCAAACCAAATATGCATTTGTACGCCTTTATGGGCAGCACAGCTCTATCTATTAAAAACAGGTATGTTAATCATTACCCTGTAGTAAAGAATTTATAATGCTCTTATCAATGTATTATCAGTAATTCTATGTGCTAAACAGATTGCTTCATCTCATTCTTAAGGTTTCTAAGAAAAAGAAAAAAACCAACAACTTAGCTCCATATAGTTACTACAGATGTTTCAATTATCCTCTCAGGGTCTCCCTTTCCCCGTAGAACAGAGAGACTTTAAAAAATAAAAATAAAAAATTAAATCAACCACACTTAATTTCCCTTCTCCCCATCTTAAAATTATCTGGAAATTTTACCTATCTGTCTTTTCTGCTGAAATCATAGGCTTAGAAATGGATTCAATCCCAACATTACCCCCTCAGATCAGGCCAGACAGGTAAATTTTCATTAAAGAGCCCTCCAGGGTTTGCTGACAAATCAATACAATCTAATAAATGCAACCACAGCAGAGGTCTGGAGCAGACCTTGCCTAGACTACAAGTCTCATTTTACTGCTTTATCTCTGGTTGCCAGAAGCAACGCAGAGGTAGAGAGCTAAGAGGAAAAAGAAACCTTATTTATCTTATTTATCGCAAGCAAGACCAGATAAAGATGCTCACCAAGTGAGCTTGAAGGATGCATTTATGTGAAACCCCACCATGTACACGCAGTTGAGAAATTCAGAGAGAGATGTTGGGCAGCACATTGAAGTGGGCTTCTGAAATCTCACAGATTGCAAACCCCCTTCTTTTCTCAGCGCAGAAAACTGTAACAGCTATTTCAGGTATACCACCAAGAAGTGCAGCTAAGAGAAAGCCTTTAAAAAGTAAGCTGTCAAATGCTCTGAGTTTTGGAAGGCAGGATTCAAAGCTCCAGAAGAACACTTTTCATTTTTATCTCAACAAAGAGGAACATGTGTCTTAAAAACTGAACGCAGCCATGTAGAACATAGACACTTTCCAGGTACTTCCTTCTTTTTCCTCACACAGATATTTTCCCCTTTCCTCCCCCATAGAGAAACCGAGGCAAGTTTCTCCATCCATACCCAGAGGATCCATTCCAGCTCCTCCA